TACTTGCTGTAGGTCGAGATAGATGGTGTCCAAGCGGTATGCAAGGGGCTTTTCGTCTGCTTCTTGCAGACACGCCTTGTCTCTTCTGACTGTGGCTTTGGTTCATGGGTGACATGGACGCCAGTTTAATTCGGTCAACAGGAAACAGACTGTTACTTGTTTTTTTCTTCTTTCCCGAATAATGCCTGTTTGCACACTCCAAAATGTCGTGAAGACGGCTCCGGGGTCATTTCAAGCTAAGATAGACAGATCCATTTCTCGTGTTCTATTTTAGAGCAGCAATCAGTGTCCAGTAAGTGTGTGTAAATAGGAAGAAAGAAGGCCTAGGTGTGCATCAATTTGGGTTCAAAATGCCGCCTTAGAAATCGCGGAAATTCTAAGTCTTTCGACCAACCCATCTATCCTCACCTGACAGAGCATATTCCATCACATGTTGCGTGCATGCTCAGACTGTCAGACTCACTCTTCTACTTAAATCTAATCCCGATCAATAATGCTGGGTGTAGAAACCATCCCGGATGTCCGCACATAATGTGTGCAACACACTGACCGTCATGACACTCGGTCAGCGGGTTCCCTCCCTGCGAGACGTACTTGGGGAGCATATTGTGGAAGGAATCTACACTGATCATATGCGCGCGGCATTCCTGCTACCAGGGGTGTGTTACTTTGTGCACGCAAATGAGACAGGTCCCTCTGTCGACTTTGGTGTGACGTTGATTTAGGCTGAGACAATACAAGCGGAAATAAATTGACTGACAGGAATCTTCACTTCATCCAGTCGGTCTTTCGGATATGGTCCAAATTGGAGTATTCTGGCCCGGACGAGTACATATCCGAGTTAACGGTCAGTCTTGGTTGCCCAGGTGACAGTTTGCAATGATGGTAGACGCTGGTCCAATCGGCGTAACGGAGTTTATCATTTATTCTACGCGCACTCTTCTCCACCAGTGGTGTGCACGCAGTATGGATCAGTCCACTTTTTTTCTCCTTCCTCGTACAGAGAGCGCCAAATAACTGAGCTGAACTGAACTGCAGTTGAGGTCTAGCGTACAGGTAGTAGAGGGAGATTCTCATTTGCCTAGTTTTAGCATTTCGCAGGGCATAACCGCTCATTCTATGAGTTTCTGAAACAATCGGTCTAACATTGCTGGGATCGAAT